CCCGGGAGGTGGAGGTTGCAACAAGCAGAGACTGAGCCACTGTACTCCAGCCTGGGTGATAGAGACTCTATCTCAAAAAAAAAAAAAAAAAAAAAAAAAAAAAGAGGCCGGGCGCGGTGGCTCACGCCTGTAATCCCAGCACTTTGGGAGGCTGAGGCGGGTGGATCACGAGGTCAGGAGATCGAGACTATCCTGGCTAACACGGTGAAACCTCGTCTCTACTAAAAATACAAAAAACTAGCCGGGCGTGGTGGCGGGCGCCTGTAGTCCCAGCTACTCGGGAGGCTGAGGCAGGAGAATGGTGTGAACCTGGGAGGCGGAGTTTGCAGTGAGCCGAGATTGTGCCACTGCACTCCAGCCTGGGCAACAGAGCGAGACTCCATCTCACAAAAAAAAAAAAAAAAAAAAAAAAGAAAGAAAAGAAAGAAATTTTCGGCTGGGCGTGGTGGCTCACGCCTGTAATCCCAGCACTTTGGGAGGCCAAGGCAGGCTGATCACCTTCAGGAGTTCGAGACCAGCCTGACCAATATGGTGAAATGCTGTCTCTACTAAAAATACAAAATTAGCCAGGTGTGGTGGCACATGCCTGTAATACCAGCTACTCCAGAGGCTGAGACAGGAGAATCACTTGAACCTGGGAGGTGGAGGTTGCAGTGAGCCAAGATCGGACCAATTGTACTCCAGCTTGGGCAACAAAAGTGAAACTCCTTCTCAAAAAAAAAAAAAAAGGAAAGGAAATTTAAAATTACATATGTGACTCACATTATATTTTTACTGGATATCACTGTTCTACTGTTCAACCATTCTGAGTTGACAATTCTAATCAAAACCAAGAAAACTTGGCCGGGTGCGGTGGCTCATGCCTGTAATCTCAGCACTTTGGGAGGCTGAGGTGGGTGGATCACCTGAGGTCGGGACTTCAAGACCAGCCTGATCAACATGGAGAAACCCCATCTCTACTAAAAATACAAAATTAGCCGGGTGTGGTGGTGCATGCCTGTTATCCCAGCTACTCGGGAGGCTGAGGCAGGAGAATCGCTTGAACCTGGGAGAGGGAGGCTGCAGTGAGCCGAGATTGTGCCATTGCACTTGGCCTGGGCAACAAGAGCAAAACTCCATCTCAAAAACAAAAACAAAAAACAAAACCCAAGGAAACCAGGTATTTCACTTAGCTTGTGCAGCTGTTTTAGTAGACATATAATTTCTGTTAGTTCTTGTGAAATATTGAAAATAGGTCAAAGATTTCTATTTCTACTTTTTCAGACTCCCAGAAAGTCTGTAATTTATATATCCTTTAATGTTTGTTTTCCCATCTTTGGAGATTCCAATAATGTAGGGGTTGAAGCCCAAGGGGGTTAGGTGCACCTAACCTAAGGTGAAGGCAAATTACTGGGGCCCATTGAATTGAACCGTATCTCTAGAGATGGGGGCCCAGCAAGCTGTCCAGGTGATTGTCATGCATGATAAAGTTTGAGGACCACTGTCCTAAATTATATAGTTACCCTTCCTTTATCCAAACTGCTTTAATAGATGGACTCAACTTACTGCAATCATACTTTGCGTTCCAATCTATAAATCATTTTTTAATGTCTAATAGGAAGTTTAAAATATGGCCTTTAGACCTATCTACCAACCTCTTTTATTTTATACAACTCTCATACTTGTGCATCTACTGAATCTTGTCCCTCGTTATATCTATAGTTTTAGACATTTGGTTACACCGTGTGAAATCATTCTGAAGAGTTTCTTTAGTCTTTTCTAGGGAAAATACCAGGCTTTAAATCATGTTGCAAGTGATAAGAAACCTCATTTGTTTTAAAAATGCATCATTTTTTCTGATATTACCCCATGTTAGAAGAGCAGATGCCATGGAAGTACAAGACTATGAAAAAGTAGCAATAATTTATTAACAAAGTATTGAAAGGAATAAGATATTTTCCCCTTTAATTCGATAGATAATTCCTGAGAACTTCAGTGTTTTCAGTTTGATCCAGGAAATGCGGACACAGAGGCCTTCATTAGTTCAAACTCAGGTATGAACTGTAGTGAATGGATCAGAAAGTGTGTCTGAGTCTTGCTCCATCTCTATGTTTAATGGTGAGGCATCCAAAAACAGCTGACTGCTCACATATAACACCAATTTACTATTACATGCTCTAGAGTCCATTGCCATTTTCTGTAACTCTGAATATCCCAATATTTTTCCTGTATCCCTTGTCCTGGGTCAAATTCCTTTCATTCCTTATTTTACTGTCTGTTCAGAAAATATTAAGACACCAATGTAATATTACTTACTTCCTTACAAAGGATGTTGTAAAACTATTCAACAAACTGTTTGGCTTGTGAACTTGAAATAGCTAGGTCATGTTAACTTGAAATTTTGTAGTGATAAAATTCATCTCTGAAAGCATAGAAAATCAGGGATTTATAATCTCTCCCTCAGGATGTGGTAACAGAATATGGAGAATTCAGTCTATGTGCTCATTTTAGGAAACACTGAAAAATAAAAATAAAAAATATATTCCTATTACCTAGAGATAGCCACTATTACTATTTTTCTATAGTTTCTCCTGATTCTTATTGCATGCATACTTTTTTAAAAACACATAATTGGGCCAGGCACGGTGGCTCACACCTGTAATCCCAGCACTTTGGGAGGCTGATGTGGGTGGATCACCTGAGGTCAGGAGTTCGAGACCAGCCTGACCAATATGCTGAAACCTCGTCTCTACTGAAAATACAAAAATTAGCTGGACATGATGGCAGCCACCTGCAATCCCAGCTACTCAGGAGGCTGAGGCAGGAGAATTGCTTGAACCTGCGAGGTAGAGGTTGCAGTGGGCGAGATCACACCACTGCACTCCAGCCTGGGCAACAGAGTGAGACTCTGTCTCAAAAAAAAAAAAAAATGTGTGTGTGTATATATATATATGTATATATTATAATCACACTATATTTATGTATCACAATCTTTTAACCTACCCCAGAATGCCCACACTTGTTCATTCCATTTAGGAATGCTCTTCCCTTCTCCTCCTAGCTCAAATCTCTCACTGTCTACAATATTAATTTCACTCACATTTCTACACCAATAGTTTTACCCAACAGTTTTAGTTTTCTAAGCGGTATTCATTTTTAATATAGAATTTAGAATTGACCCATTCATTCATCAAATGTATATTCATATTTATTAACAGGCACTTTTGTGTAATCTGTTAGAACTACTTTTAACGACTTAAATAGCAAGACCTTAAAGTGTTTAAGACACTTAGAAATGAAGATGCAAATAGTTTTAGAGATAAAACCACTGACAATGGCAATTCAGATATTTTAGTCTAGAAGTTGTTAATTAAAGGGAAAAAATAAAGAGCTATTATAATATAAAACTGGCCTCCACAGGTTTTCCACTAATAGCTGGTGGAAAAAAATAACTTTTCATGTGCTGAGTGTAGGTGTTTTCTATATTCAACCTGTGAGGGAGAAAGCTTATATGAAATGAAAGCATTAGTGGTTTAATGCTGTCAGACTTGAAAGAAGGCTGATCCATGTAAATGCATAAAGATTCCAGAAGTATGGAATCTAGTTACATAAATTGCAATACTAATTTAATAAAACTATACTCCATTTCAAAAACAAATTCCATTTCAGGTCTACTTTTAAGAGTTGAAAGACAGCTGAAAAAGCCTTCACATTTTGGCATTATCAAACAACTAATTTAACAGTTGTAGCTGTTTTTTTCTGACACTACTCTAACCAGGAAATGGCACTGTAACCAGATGAGAGCTTCCTGTCTGATTTTTCTTTCTTTTCTTTTCTTTTTTTTTTTTTTTTTTTGAGATGTACTTTCACTCTGTCACTCAGGCTGGAGTGCAATGGCACGATCTCGGCTCAGTGCAACCTCCGCTCTGCCAGTTTCAAGCAATTCTCCTGCCTCAGCCTCCTGAGTAGGTGGGACTACGGGCACGTGCCACCATGCTTAGCTAATTTTTTGTGTTTGTAGTGGAGATGGAGTTTCACCACGCTGGCCAGGCTGGTCTTGAACTCCTGACTTCGTGATCCACCTGCCTCAGCCTCCCAAAGTGCTGGGATTACAGGCGTGAGCCACCTTGCCCGGCCCTGATTTTTCTTTCTTAAAAAAATTAGCCAGATGTGGTGGCTCATGCCTATAACCCCCGCACTTTGGGAGGCTGAGGCAGGTGGATCGCTTGAGCTCAGGAGTTCAAAACCAGCCTGCGCAACATAGTGAGACCTTGTCTCTACAAAAAATACAAAAATTAGCAGGGTGTAGTGGCAGGTGCCTGCAGTCCCAACTTACTTGGGAGACTGAGGTGGGAGCATCACTTGAGCCTGGGAGGTCGAGGCTGCGATAAGCCGAAATTGCATCACTGCACTCCAACCTGGGCAACATGGTGAGACCATGTCTCAAAAAAAAAAAAAAAGAGCATACTAATGACTATGTTGGATGATACAGACTCTGCATTGTTTCTTGCTAAAATTATCTTTGAAAAAATATTGTTCCTTATTTGTATAGAAATGTGTAAAGCGTCAGGGAAAACTCTGAATAGGCCCATTCAGATAAAAAGTAGGTTCAAAATTAAGTGCTTGAGCAAGTACAGGCTAAAACAGAATAGTAATAACTCGTAAACCTTGTAATAGTAGAGGTCTCATTTCTCTATGGTGAAATCCTTTTGTAACCACAAATTTCCAAACCTTATTTAGTGGTTTACTTTTCTTTGGTATCTTTACTAGGACAAAATTTTAGCAACTTTATCTAAATGCACTGAACTAAGAGTGTGGAAATTAAGTTTCTGAGTCAAGTCCTGGAAATTTCTTCTGAATGACCTGGGATAAACTGTTTGTAAATAGGTATAATAGCCTATCTACTTTATAGAGCAATTGAGAGGACCGAATTAAAGCGTATACATTGAAGTTACCTATCTATACACCAACTACTATCTCTTTTTCCAGAAAAGATGAAGGTTGCTTACAAAAAATCCATCTAGAATGAAATACATTTTTTTTAAAATATGAGCAAAGGAAACAGAATTAGAGGAATGATGGAGAGAAAGATAAGAAAGTAGGGTTAGAACATAAAAGAAACAAGTCATAAGATTCTTGTACATTAGTTACAGGTGTATCAAATAGCTATTTTCAGCAGCATAAAAGTGCTTTGAAATCTGAAGTGAACTATGCAAGCATAAGGCATTGTTAGTAAGTTTAATAACATGCTGATTGTCCTTTTGGGTCTGCTATATTAGGATTTGATTGGTGTTCAAATTCCTAAAATCTGGTCCTGCAGTTCACCATTTTTTTTCTTTTTGTTTTCATTTGTTCTGGGTTGTGATGCTCTTCAGGAACAATATGAACTGGTCTACAATGCTGTATTAGAACTATTTAAGAGACAGATGGATGTTATCAGAGATAAACATTCTGGAACAGAGGTAAAATTTAAACTAGATATGATGTCAAAAAAATTTTCGTACTTGCTTTTGGTCAAGGGATGTCAGATTTGTTGCAGGATTTATCCATTGTCACAACTAAATTGAGAGCATCAGATGTGCATAGGGCTGCACTAAAAATTTCCTGTGGAAAAGAGCAAATTAATTTGAGGTAACTTAACTTAAAAAATTAATCTCACTAGGTCCGGTGGCTCGCGCCTGTAATCCCAGCATTTTGGGAGGTTGAGGCAGGCAGATCACCTGAGGTCAGGAGTTCAAGACCAGCCTGGCCAACATGGTGAACCCCATCTCAAAAAAAAAAAAAAAAAATTTAGCCAGGAGTGGTGGGGCATACCTGTAGTCCCAGCTACTCCAGAGGCTGAGGCAGGAGGATTGCTTGAACCTGGGAGGTGGAGGTCGCAGTGAGCTGAAATGGCACCACCGCACTCCAGCTTGGGCAACAAAGTGAGACCCTGTCTCAAAGAGAAATAAAAATTTAAAAATAATCTCTTGGCTGGGCGAGGTGGTTCATGCCTGTAATCCCAGCACTTTGGAAGGCCAAGGTGGGAGGATTGGTTCGAGCCTAGGAGTTTGAGACCAGCCTCGGCAACATAACAATTTTCTCTACAAAAAAATTTTTTCAAAATGGCCGGGCGTGGTGGTTCATGCCTGTAATCCCAGCACTTTGGGAGGCCGAGGTGGGCAGATCACCTGAGGTCAGGCGTTCAAGACCAGCCTGGTCACTATGGCAAAACCCAGTCTCTACTAAAAATACAAAAATTAGCTGGACATGGTGGCAGGTGCCTGTAATCCCAGCTATTCAGGAGGCTGAGGCAGAAGACTCGCTTGAACCCAGGAGGCGGAGGTTGCAGTGAGCCGATATTGCACCATTGCACTCCAGCCTAGGAAACAAGAGTGAAACTCTGTCTCAAAAGAAAAATAGTAGCCAGGCACAGGCATGTGCCTGTGGTCCCAGCTACTCAGGAGACTGAGCTGGGAGGATTGCATAAGCCCAGGAGGACAAGACTGCAGTGAGCCAACATCCCACAACTGCACTCCTGCCTGGGCAACAGAGTGAGACCCTGTCTCAAAAAAAATTATTAAAAAAATTCATCTCTGATTAACCTACTGCATACAGTTAGTTTTCAGCTAAATTTAGAAACAATAGGAGTAAAAGGGCAAGCATATATTCTGCTCCCATGTTTAAAATTTACTATCAGCTATTTTGAAGTATACAATACATTGTTATTAACTATAGTCACCATGTTATACAACATTGTACAGCTTGAACTTATTCCTACTGTCTGACATTTTGTATACTTTGACTGACATCTCCCTAACCCCATCTCTCCCCCAACTCTCCACCCAGCCTCCTGGTAACCATTATTCTATACTCTGCTTCTATGAGTTTCACTTAAAAAAAAAAAAGGTTCCACATATAAGTGATAATGTGGTATTTGTCTTTCTGTGCCTGGCTTATTTCAGTTAGCATGTCTTTCAGGTTCATCCGTGTTGTCACAAATAACAGGATTTCCTTCTTTTTAAAAGGCTGTATGGTACTCCATTGTGTATGTATACACATTTTCTTTATTCATTCATCTACTGATGGACACCAAGGTTGATTCTGTGTCTTGACTATTGTGAGTAACGCTGCAATAAACATGGGAGTGCAGATATCTCTCTGACACAGTGACTTCATTTCCTTCAGATATATACTGAGAAGTTGAATTGCTGGATCATATGGTAGTTCTATTTTTAATTGTTTGAGGAATCTCCATCCTGTTTTTCATAATTTCTGTACTAATTTATGTTCCCATCAACAGGGTACAAGTGTTCTCTTTTCTTCATATTCTAACTTTTGTTATCTCTTGTCTTTTTGATAATAGCCATCCTAACAAGTGACAGATGACAGGTCACTGTGGTTTCAATTTGCATTTCCCTGATGATTAGTGATGTTGAACATCTTTTCATATGCCTGTTGGCCATCTGTATGTTTTCTTTTGAGAAATCTTTTCAGGTCTTTTGTCCATTTTAAAATCAGGTTATTGTTTTCTTGTTGTTGGGTTGAGTCCTTATGCTATGTTAGTATCCAATGCTGTTGGATACTTATCAGATGTATAGTTTGCAGAATTTTCTTCCATTGCACGGGTTGTCTCTTCACTCTGTTGATTGCTTTCTTGAATCACTGAAGTTTTGAGAATATTTTAGAATATCCAAAGGATTTTCAGCTGGAGGCCTAAGATATAAAAACTATTATGATTTGGCCAAATGCCAATTAAAAAATATTGAGAGTTCTAGGATATGCTATTTTGATCTCATCACAAAAATTGATGTTAAATACTGTATAACCACAAAGTGTTAGATTCTGAACAAACCTTAACAAGACAAAATTACTGCTGCCTTGCCTTCATGTGACATATACATTTCTTTTTTTTTTTGGAGACAGAATCTCATTCTGTCGCCCAGGATGGAGTGCAGTGGCGCGATCTTGGCTCACTGCAACCTCTGCCTCCTGGGTTCAAGTGATATGTGACATATACATTTTAATTTTTAATATCGCATTTTAAATTATTAATCTGAAAATACTCACTGAGGCTCTACTATTTTCTCAGCATTAGGAATACAAAGTGTTTCAGACATGGCCCTGATCATAATTCTCATCATTTGAATGATGAAGCATACTTGAGACCTCAGCAAGACAGGTGGGTGGGAAGAAAGCCAGAATAACTGATGGGGCTAGGGAACTAATTAAGCAATCTTATAGTTAATATCAACTGCAAGGAGAAATGATATGGTGAAGGGACATGGAATAAGAATATAGTTGCTAGGAATTGTTACTTATTTTATATTCATGCCCATTTCATTGGCTAGTAATCCCAGAACAATGTCAAATAATAGAGGTGAAATAAACAATTCTAATTTTGATAGGAATTATTCTCGTGTCTCACTAAGCATAATTTTGAATTTTGATTGGACATATGAATTTTTAAATTGTTTAAAGGAATAATTCATTGATTTTCATTTTCTGAAGAATTTCTTCAGAAAGCATGTTGAATTATTATTATTATTATTATTTATTTTTTTCGAGACGGAGTTTTGCTCTTGTTGCCTGGGCTGGAGTGCAATGGCGCGATCTCAGCTCACTGCAACCTCCGCCTCCAGGGTTCAAGTGATTCTCCTGTCTCAGGCTCCCTAGTAGCTGGGACTATAGGCATGTGCCACCACGCTTGACTTATTTTGTATTTTTAGTAGAGATGGGGTTTCTCCATGTTGGTCAGGCTGGCCTTGAAATCCTTACCTCAGATTATCCGCCCACCTCGGCCTCCCAAAGTGCTGGGATTATAGGCACGAGCCATTGCACGTGGCCAACATGTTGAATTCTTATCAATTGCCTATTTTTGCATTATGGAGTGATTAGATGGATTTTCCCTCCTTTGACCTATTAATGCAGTCATATAATTATATGATTATCAACCATCCTTACACCCTTAGAATAAAGTCTACTTGAACAAAGAATATTGTCTTAATGTGTTGCTGGAGTAACTGTGCTTATTTTATTTAGGTTCTAGGAAATGTCAGTACTCAAATGTAGCCCAGTAGCAGTGCCATGGCTCTGGATAGCTGGGTTGTTTGGAGTGGGTCCTTAGCCAGTAAATGGGGATACAGGAACACAGTTCAACCCCTCACAGGGGGAACTGGTTAAAGATAGCCATGGAGGACTTCTGCTTCTAGAAAGATCTAGTAGAGATACTTTTCCTATTCCTTCCACTAAGTGCAACTAGAAATCCTGGATATTATACATAAAACAAACACTAGAAAACTCTGAGGGATGGAGAGAAAAAGGCAGACTAGTCAGGGCCCTCCGGACTTGAGAAACAAAATGGTGGTGAGCTCCCTCGGTTTTCTTTGCCTCATATAATTTAAACTTGGTGCTTAAGATGCCAACAACTGAGAAATGCTAACAGTGCAGAGAAAAAAGATGCCCCAATAAAAGCCTGCTATCTCTAGCCAAAGAACCAGTAAATGGGCAGCCTATCAAGACAGAACATTATTAGACAATAATCATTCTACTGTAGCCAACACTGAAGCAAAAGCTGACCCAATCTCATCCATGCCAACAAAGGCTGAGTGGGGAGCCTATACTTCCACCCTTACAAGGTTATAATAAGGTGTCCAATACGCCTTCTTGGGTGGTGTTAGAGAAGGGCAAATAGAGAGCTGGAACTTTCATCCCCACTGGCCTGTAATGAGGCTCCCTATCCTGCAGTGTCAGTGGAGACCATATGTAGCATCAGAAGAGGCCCAGTGGAAACTAAACACTTTCACCATCATTAGTGGTAATGAGGTCACCACTATCACAGTGTCAGTGGAGACAATGTGAGGAACCTAGGCTTCTACCTGGTATTAACATGACCCCACAATGCCTTCCCATTGAAGTAGTGTCAGAAGAGGCCTAGTGGAGAGTCAGGACTTTCACAGTCATCTGGTGGTAATGAGGCCACTCCCACTACAGTGTCAGTGGAGAACAAGTGAGGAGCCTTCCCAACAGTGCATGCCCTGGAGTGTCAACAGAGGCTAAGTGAGGAACCTGGTGGAGGTAGGATCCACCCAGCAGCAATGAGGAAGCACCCCCTACCATTTCCCCTGCTAGAGAGTATCAAAAAGCCCCAGCAACGGCCAGGTGTGGTGATGCATGCCTGTAATCCCAGCACTTTGGGAGGCCAAGGCGGGCAGATCACTTGAGGCCAGGAGTTCGAGACTAGCCTGGCCAGCATGGTGAAACCCTATCTCTACTAAAAATACAAAAGTTAGCTGGGCATGATGGTGTGCACCTGTAATCCCAGCTACTCAGGAGGCTGAGGCATGAGAATTGTTTGAACCCAGGAGATGGAGGTTGCAGTGATCTGAGATCGCACCACTGCACTCCAGCCTAAGTGACAGAGCAAGACTCTGTAAAAAAACAAAAAAAGCCCCAGCAAAAAGAGAAGGCTTAACTAGGATTCAGAGTTTCATAATAATGTGAAAATACCCAGATTTCAGTTGAAAATCACTTATTATACCAAAAACCAGGAAGATCTCAAACCGAATTTAAAAAAGGACAATAGGTGACAACACTGAGATGATACAGATGTCAGAATTATCTGA